CAAAGTCGCGAGTGTTTCGAGTTTTCGTGTGTGAAATATCCGTAAAATCGGTCAATTTTCATGGTAAAAAGACTGAGATTCGAAAGATTACGCGGCGGGAGTGCGTTTGAGCTAGGAGATTAATGCAGATCGGTGTTGATTAGAACGAAAAAAAGCAATTTATTCGAGCTCCAAAAGTTGTGCATAACCTAAAAATAGCAAGAACAGAAAAAACACTGATTCGAAGAAAAACGACGGCGTTGAATCGAGTTTATCCGCTTGTCGTAAAGCGTGTGGAGGCAAATAGTGCGTTTTTCGTCGCCGGGAATCAGAATACGGATCGGTCTATTCGTCGGACCCGCCACGCCGCTCGCGGGAAGGAAGTGAAGAATACACGTTGAAGAAGAAAAATTAGGTGTTGAACAAGCGAGTGGGCATACGGTAGTAAAAATACCATGTCGAAGAACCCCAAAGTGAATGCAACTACCAGCAACGTCATGCTAACGAGATCACAGTCCATGAGGACTGGCATAGGCACAACAGTACCACCAGGAACCTCCAGATTTGTACCAACGAAAAAACCAGCTGAGACAAATGTACGCAGCAAGGGAGCAGGAACCTCTGGCGCTGCTCAGCATACGAAGAAACACAAGGAACGAACTCAAGTAACAACGGAACAAACGTTAATCAGGTCCATGGCAGCAGCTCTGCTGAGGAAACAGCATCAGGAGCAGCACGTTCAGAAACGGTGTACTTGGAACCAATCGAATACGAAAAGCCAATATCAAAACATCCAGCCGAGCTAGGGAAAATTCTGCACGAGGCAGGCTTTCAAGGATGGAAGGAAATAACAAAGATCGGCAACTTCCGTTACAAGCTAAACCTGACCGCTGCACAAGGCTCGGCGGATCTGGCAAAAGAGGATTTTGCTAGAGCTAATCTGAGAGTATTCACGCCCAAGGCGCAAACACAGACAAGATGTTTTGTACCGGGAGTGCCTCTGAGCTTTGATGCCGTCGACCTGAAGCAGACGGAGGCAGCAGTACCAATCATCAAGGTGGAAAGAATCCGGCGGATGGGTCGAAACAGACAACTGTACGAGACGGAAAACCTGAAGCTGACAGTAGAAGAAACGCAGGTGCCGAGTCCGATCAATACGGGGTTAGCTTCAGAGCAGAACCATTCAAGTTCCCAGTGAAACAGTGCTGGAACTGCTGGTGGTTTGGGCATGTAAAGGCCAAATGTCGAAATCAAACCAAATGCCAAAGATGCGGCCAAGAACATGGTTCATCGGACGAAGAGTGCGGGCGGGACCCATGCTGCGTGAATTGTGGGGAGAGACACGAAGCGAAAAGCAAAATTTGTGCGGAAAGAACCAGAAGGACCAAAATCATCGACAAAATGCGGATCGACCGAGTACCATACGCGGAGGCGGAAAACGCTTATCCCAAGACCCAAAACCGGTTTGAGTTGCTGGAGGACGATAATGATTTCCCGGAAATAGAAGACCACAATTCCAATAACAACGAACGCGAAAACACTGGAAATCATTCCGGTGCCGGAAACAGAGGCAGTACGAAGTCATCCGAAAGTAGAAAGGAGCGGCAGCAGACCCACAAAGCAACGGATTTTGAAGCTTTTATTTCGGAGATGAGACAGGAGTTCATCCGCTTCTGCAGTGCCAGAGAATGGATCAAGCCCCTGCGCGAGCTGCGTGACAAACTAAGGAACAAACTACAAAAAGAAAGAACAGAGGTGGAAACAGATCAAATCCTAATCGAGGTCAGCATGGACATAGAAGCGATACTGAACACAGAGATGAACAAAGAAACACAGCAAAACAGACGAACAACAACCGGCAATCATGGAATATAAAACCTTAACTCTATTGCAACACAACATACAAAGCATCAGGCCGACCGAAAAGCGCGAAGAGTTGTTCACATGCTTGACCTCGAACAACATAAAGATTGCCATACTACAAGAAATTTGGCTCAAAGAGGAGGAAACGTTCACTTTCAAGAATCATCAACTGGTATCTAAACGGAGGAAAGAAGGCTACGGAGGAGTAGGCGTACTAATACATAACGACTTGGACGTCCAGGAACTGGAATTGCCGGAATTCAGGAAGGTGGAAGCTGTAGGAGTCAAAATCAATCGAGGATTCGACCCGATAAATGTGTTTTCGGTGTACATCCCATCCGCAAGCGGAAGCAGCATTGAAACTACTGAAGACATAGCAGCACTGTTCGAGTTTCTAAAAGAACTGGAGGGAGAAACGATAGTTGGAGCGGACGTAAACGCACATCACTCAGCGTGGAGCCCAGATTTTCCGATGTGCAGCAGAGGAAGACTCATAAACGGAAAAATCGAAGAGTCTAACCTTATTCTCCTCAACGACGACGGTACACCAACGGTCATAACCGGAGTTGGAGGCAGACAATCGGCGATTGACATCACCTTGGCATCTCCGGGAGTAGCAAGAAAATCGACATGGGAGGTAATGGAGGAAGAATTTGGGAGCGTCCACATGCCCATCAGAGTAGGAATTACCAGCGAAATTCCAATCGTAAACGGCACGATTCGGAGGGTCAACAAGGAGCAACTGGTAGAATCCCTCAACAGCATCCGTCCACAATTCCTGTATTCGCCCGAGGAAATGGTGGAAATCTTCGAGGAGGCAGTAGAAAAATCGTCCTTTTGCGTCAAAAACAAAAAGGGCAACTATCTGAAACCGTGGTGGTCGGACGAAATCGCGAGCTTGTACGAGAGCAAACGAGATGCGCTGCGGAGATACAACGTGTCGAAAACAAGGTCCAACTACATTGCCCTTCAAAAGGAGAGAGCCCTATTCAAGAGGCATGTCAGGAGGGCCAAGCGACAACATGTGAGAGAGCTTATGGAAAAAATTGACGAATCGACGCCTTCTCGACAGCTCTGGAACATGATAAAGGGCATCGACACTTCACTGACAGGGAAGCACAGGAAAAAAACGGAGCTATCCAAGGAGGACGGAACGAAGTTTATGGAGTTCTATTTTGATGGGAAATTCACACACTGCAGATGCCTGAAACAAGGACGGAAGGCATACTCGAAGGCTACGAGAGGGCACTCCAGGACAGCGAGATCTTACAGGTCCTGAAAGGGAAAAAGAACCATTCAGCCCCAGGCTTGAATGGTATATCGTATGCAGTACTAAAGCAGCTAAACCCAGATATGCAGGAAAAAATATGCGAGATGTTAAGCAAAGTTTTCGTGTCGGAGAAAATTCCAGAAAAATGGAGACTGACGGAAATTCGCCCGATCCCTAAAGGCCCACCCACATTAGATCCGTTTGCGTTGCGTTGACGTAAATTTGACAGTTAGACAATAGATTTAGCTGTCACTTTGCCGCAACGCGTCAGATCCGGATCTAATGTGCGTGGACCTTAAGAAAACGGGAAACACCAACCAACCCAACTGCATGCGACCAAGGGGCGACCCCGGCGTAGTGGTTAACATTCATACCTCTCACGCCAAAGTCACGAGTTCAAATCTCACCCCCGGACAAGTCACGAATGACCCAAGAGTGTTAAAGTGACTATAATCAAAAAAAAAAAAAAAAACTGCATGCGACCAATTGCACTCATCAACTCAAGCTGATCAACGCAGCGGTCAAAAATCCCCTGGCGGAAATAGTAGAAATTAAAAACCTTATTCCACCCCTATCTTTCGGTTTCCGGAAACATGTGTCAGCATCCACCTGCGTAGCGTACGTAGTCAACAGGATCTATGAAGCAAAGGAGCAGAAAAAGGAAGTGCTAGTCACCTTCCTGGACGTGAGCAAGGCGTATGACACAGTGGTTTCCAAAACGCTGCTTAACACGTTGGGGAAATTGGGAATCCCTAGCAAGATCGTCTCGTGGCTGTACGAGTACCTACGAAGCCGGATCATGATCCTGAAGACCGACGAACAGCAAGTAGAAGTAGAGGTGTCAGAGGGACTACCACAAGGGTGCCCCCTCTCCCCGATACTTTTCAATCTGTACACGGCAGAACTGCACGAACTGTCGACGGAGAAAGGAGAACTAGTTCAGTTCGCTGACGACTTTGCCCTGGTCGTGACAGCCGACACGCTTGAGGAGGCAGTTGAGATCACCTCTCTCGTACAGCAGATGTACACAAGGCTCGACCAATTAAACCTGAAGGTTCCAGAAGTCAGCAGCGATCCCGTTCACAAGGAAGAACACGGACAAGCTCAGGATATCGGTCAAAGGTGGGCAAATCGAGTTAGTCAACACGCATCAATACCTTGGATACACCCTGGACAGAGAACTCCGGCACAGGAAGCACATCGAAAACATCAGAGACAAAGCAGGCAAGAAACTAGGATTGATGAAGCTACTCTCCAAGAAAACAAGTGGTGCAAACCCGGAGACGTTGATAAAAATTGGGAACGCCATAATAAGAAGCCGCATGGAGTACGGAGCAACGGTGTTTGGCAACGCTGCAAAAACCAATTTGGACAAGCTGCAAGTCGTTCAGAACGCGTACATAAGGCAAGCGATGCGGTACCTACCGAGCACTCCGGTGCACGTCATGCTAGCGGAGTCAGGACAATTACCGATGATGTTGAGAATAGAAGCGCTAACGAAGAGGGAACTAGTAAGAACGACATACTTCAGAACCCCTATCATGAAGTTTGTCTGCGACGCGTTGTGCAAAGAAATGGGCAACGGTTCGTACCTAACGGAAACGGCGGACAAGCACGTGGACTTGCTGTATCAAATACACCCCTCAGATAAGGAACTCCCAAGGAAGAAGAGAATGCGGTACTTCAGAAGTTCAGACCTTTTCATGACTGTACGCCTTAACCTAGGAGGAAAGAACGTCAAGAAGGACAACGTCAGCGAGGAATCATGGAGAAGAATATACAGGGAAGAAGAAAACACAACGTACAAAAAATATGAGAGGATTTTCACGGACGGATCAAAATCGGAAGCTGGAGTAGCATTCACGGTATATGACGACAACAGGAAACGTAAAGCAGCCGAAAGCATTAACAGCAACTTTACCATCACCAACGCGGAACTTCTAGCGATTCTCCAGGCGGTGGAAACAGCAAAGAAGGAAAACTACAAAAAAGCGGTGATTTTCACGGACTCAAGGAGCGCGTGCGAGATGCTCCTAAACGAGGACATCATCGCAAACAACTATATCGCTTGGGAAATCTACAAGGAGCTACAAGGTACGAGAGAAAACACCATCAAAATCCAATGGATTCCAAGCCACGTTGGGATTAGAGGAAACGAAGTAGCAGATCAAGCAGCGAAGCAAAAAAGCAGGGAGAAACAGACATTCTTCAACGGACTCACCATGGCAGATGCGCTGAGACTCAGCAACCTGGATGTTTGGGCAGACTGGAGCAGACGTTACAAGGAAAAATCAAAAACCAAAGGATGTTGGCACTTTAACCTAATGGAGACACCAGGTAGGAAAATCTGGTCACACGAGCTGCAACTGAATCCGGACGAAGTAAAAACCTTGAACAGAATAAGAAGTGGTCATGCACTCACCAAATCCAAAAGAGCCACGTGGGGATGGGAGATAGACGACCAGTGTGATTGGTGCGAAGTAAAAGAAGACATCAAACACATCCTATATGACTGTCCAAAGTTCAATATTGAACGAAACAAGTACCCGATACTAGAATACATGAAGCCAATCGAACAAGTTCTAATCGAGCTTTGTGAAGAAGAACTCAAACAGATCACAAGATTCATCAAGGAAACCAAAAGCCAAATTTAAATCAGGACAACACCATCAGCTAAAACCATGAACCAGAAACACGAAGATACGACACCCAACGAACAAGCGAAGAAGATTGTGGCGAGATGGACCAACCTATAATATGTATCTTCAACTCCTGGAGTAAAATGTAAATAACATTAACCAGTTTAATGAGAGAGGAGAGAGAGAAGGATTAGTAATTTTCATTTAATTCCACTACCTTATTTGCTTATCCTTGACAGATACGCGTATTTCGTCTACAATGTGCAGACTTCTTCAGTGTCTTGTCGAGTATTAGTACAAGACACCGAAGAAGGCTGCACATTGTAGGCGAAATACGCGTGTCTGTCAAGGATAAGCAAATAAGGTAGTGGAATTAAATGGAAATTACTAATCCTTCTCTCTCTCTTTCATTATACAGGTATTCCACTAAGACGCCCACATTCATCAGGATTCTTTAACCAGTTGTTTTATTTAAATAGTGCTGTAAATTTAAGTGTCATGAATAGTAGCAAAAACACGTTTTTAAAATGTCCACAGAAAAACAAAAGTATGAACACACTTGTATGTGGATAGATGAGGGTTACCGCGATCTTTAGCCATACATACGAAGTACATTGTGATCATAACCAGGGGTTGAAACTGTTGACGTTTTTTACTACACTCGCTTCGTTGTCGTGCGCAACAGTCTGTTTTTATTCCTACACGCATGCTCTACCGTCGTCTCTCTCACACAACACAACCGGTAGAATAACATTCGAGAAAAAAGAAAATTATCAAATAACTATCATATGACATGAGTAATTTCGTTCTAATTCCTCAATTTGGTGTAAATTAAACCATTTCTGATCAGAAATGTTATTCCTAGGACATCATTGCTTGCTATTTTCAGAATTCACACAAGCACAACACCAGCAGCTCCTCTTATGAGAAAAACTAAAATACATACATTCGTGACGGTCTTCGGCGACAGTGTCATATGACAGAGCCTGTCGTATGACATTTGAGTTTGGTACTGTAATATGATAGCTTGTTTTCCAAGTGTCGGAGGCAAAAGCAGTCGATTATCACAGAAAATGTGTCGACTACCGTGACCGCTTACAAGACTGATCATAACCAAGTGTACTCCTAATAGCTACGATACATTTACATATGTTAAGATATTTTAACCAAATTTATGTAAAATTAGACCTAAGCGCTAAGGCAATAAAATCTTCATTTTACAAACACTATCTACTTACAAGTTAAGTGACCATGTATAAAGAATTATAGATTTTCCAAATTTTATCTTCAAATTCCCGGATTCTTTCCGCTAACATTCCCGGTTTGCTAGCCACCCTGAGAACCTAAACTGAAAAAGATTAAGAATTTTAGTTAAATTTGAAATAAATTTGAAATTTTGGGATATTTTCAAATAGTTATATTTATAGGTTTTCTAGGGGAAAGTGCTGAAGTATTCAAGGGTTAATTCAGTAGCTTAAACGACCTGCGGCAGAAGTCTTTTAGATAGAAATAAACCAACACACAGTTGATGCAATCTCGAGTACTAATCTTTTCGTTTTGATAACACACTATCCTAACAATTTTTCATCTGTTCTGTAACGCATTCTACAAGCTCACGCATTGAAAATGCCCACTGCACTACCGACAAAAAAAAAACGCCGTTACAAAATATCACAAATCAGTGTAGTAGTAGTTGTAATAGTAGTAGTTATTGCAGCACTAGACGATCGACTCGAGTGCCGATAATTGAATATATTGAACGGGACTTGCACCGCGAGGGCGGCGACAGCCCGATGACAGGAGGTTCGTACAAAACTTATTAAAACGTCCAGCAGTGCCAACAACAACAGCATCAGTATCTTGCTGTTGACCGCCGCCACCGTCATTGGCACGCTCGGACAAAGGGATGATATTCTAATCAGTCGTATGCGTTTACGTGGTTGTTGGTTTTGAGTAAGAGTTATACAATTTGATTGGCTATTACATCTAGGACTACGAATATCTTGATCTTCGTCACTGGTTTTCCGGGTACAAGTGCTACTAGTGGATAAAGTGTTTGACCGGGTGGCTGAATATTTAGCGATATCGATATCGTGCGAAAGTTGTACGAGCTTACCTTGGGCCAAATGTTATATCAGCAACCGTTGCCGCCGGGTTGAAGTGTCATCCAGCAGTACTGCGGAGGTTCGATCGTGGCGGCGCTGATTATGTTGATCGAAATTTGCTGCTGTTCTTGCTGGTTTATCGAGGAGCATCTGATGTGGATTCTGGTGCTGTTGCTTCAACTCCAGTGCTTCCAGAGCTCTGCTCCACTGTTCCAGTTCCGGGGGCAACAATTGTCACCTAGCACCGGATGCGCAAGGATTGTTTAAGTTCTTCTGGCCAGCGGGACCGGCGGAGCTGTTACCACTTCCGGAGCCGGCCGCACCACGCTCGTGGCGACCTCCGTGGTGATGGTGATGATGGTGATGACCGCCACGACGGTGACGATGACCACCTCCTCCGCGATAGTGGTGATGAGAATTGTGCTGCTGAGACTGGGCCGCATCGGCGTCTGCTGAAGCGCCGGGAGGTCCATTTTGAGGCCGATTTAAGCGGTTTCCTTGAAAACCTCGACTGCCTCCGGGGCCTGCCCCGGAATGTCGCGAAGTGTTTCCGCGATCGTGCTGTGTGGAACTACTCATCGACGATGCATTGTTCTGCTTCTGCAGCTGTTGCACCGGTGGGTGCTCAGATGCAGTGCCATCCTGCGAGGTTTCGTTTGTGCTTTTCGATGACTGAAAAAAATCGATTGCATTCAATAATCACATCAAGCATTCGAACTTATCACCAAATACTCACCTCACTGTTGGCATTCTCCGTTTCGATTGCAATTACATTGCCTTCCTCCGCGTCCAAATCTATAATCCCACCACGACTCTTCTGATGCAAATAGAGCCGATTCATTTGTGCCTGCAGCGATTTGAGCTCGTCGGTCAAACGAAACTTGGGAGCACTTGCCAGCTCTCTCGGCGGTCTACATTTTGTCAAAGGCTCAACGTCCACCTCGATCGGTTCCCTACAAACCGGACACAGGGCCTGATATGGTTTGGATTCCTTCTGCTTCCAAACCGGCATTTTTGCCAACTCCTCGTCGTAGTTTCGCTTCGAAGCATTCAAATGGCACGCCAAACAGTGACTGTGCAGATAGTGATAGCACATGGTTTTCGTAAAGGCATCCCCGTCCTGGAATCCGTACAGACAAATAACACACTGCCCCGATGGCAAATTGCTTTCCGTCAACTGTTCCCGAATGAGATCGATCAAATCGAACACCACCGGTTGCCCCACGGATTCGTCCAGCTTTTGCTTCACCGCTGCATCGATGCTGTTGATTATGTGATCATCCAGCCCGCGAGGATTTTTCAATTTTATACTCGGTTTCACATCCGGATACCCCGGTCCTGGAAGTACCTGCAGCGTGATGCACACATACTGACTGTCTACCTCTTCGCCTACCGTGGGAAACACGGTTGTTTCTATCATCTCCGGAATGCCACTAGGAAGAACAAAAAAAAATAAATAGACAAAGCCCTTGATTAGCCCAAAATTTGCAACTGCAGTTGTGCAATCGATTTTCTCCCCCAATTGCATCCTAGACAAAAAAGGAAACGCAAATCCTCGCTCCCTCTCAGTGTCACTTACCCACTGTTCCGAGTAATAGCAACATCCTCCATCAGAATCGCCTCCAACGATTCCACTTCGTCCATTAACCTGTGTAAAAAAATACACATTTTACAGTAAATCATCCCAAATTTACCATTGACGACAGGTTGGAAAATTCCGCTTCGGGGCGGAAATCGATTTTCCATCTGAGTTATTACTTACGCATCCATTTTCTACTCCTGCCAACAGTCTCGTAAAACTATTTCCAAAATCCGTTTCGCTTGGTCGTTAAACACCAATTTTCACACGACGAAAAACTCTTCCCCTGCTCACAAAAACCGTGAGGAAAAAATCAATTTTCCGACACTAGCCTTTTCCTGCGATGCACGTTTGTTCACAATCTGCCTTTGATATGCGCTCTCGGCTGTACGCTGCTGTTGCTTGTGAATGAAAACACTTTTCGCAGGCCAGTCACAAGACGGGACGATGTGAGGATAGAGGGAAACGCGGAGTCAATGCCCAAAACGGATCGATGGCCAGGGAAACTTCAAAATTCGTTCGATAAGAACTGAGGAGGCGCAGGAAACGGACAGAAAGAAAAACAACCGCATCAAAACCGAACCAAAACTTTTTGGCAGCTCTTTGTTGATGTGACGGAGGAGGTAAAATCGGTAAAATTGAGGAAATGTTCCATAGGCGTCATTGGAAAGTAGGGGCATAGTTACCAAAAACCCTTTTTTGAATACAGTCGGAATTAAGGCTGTGTTCCATTTGGTGAATTTTCACTTAAATTTGACAATTCAACCTGAACATTGCATTAGGTCCTGAGTAACATTGACACATTCTCTTCGTCGGCTTTCTCTTTGTATCCCCACGGCCATGTAAAGACATTCCCAGGTATTTTCAGCACACAGATCGATAAAAGAAGCTTTTATCTAGCATCTAATACAATTAAGTCCCTGCTCTCCCGCTTTGGTATTTGGTGACTACAATCAAGCTGGTCTGCAGTGGCGCTTTACAGACAGTGGCACACCATTAATTGATCCACTGCTTTCGCATATGCCGGTTGCTTGCTGTGCTCTTTTGGACGGTTTTAACTTTTACGGGTTCACACAAGTGAATACTTTTCCGAACCGAAATGGACGTTTGCTAGATCTTGTCCTGGCAAATGATTCCGCACTACCGGGCACTTCTGTTTCCTTGCCGGTCGAGCCACTGATTGATCTAGATGCCGATCATCCCGCTCTCGTCGTGTCATTTAGTTTACCTGCGCCGATTCTTTTTACGCCGTCATCTGAGTGCTACTCTTTGGACTTTCGCCGGGCCGATTATGTTGCATTAAACAATGCGCTTGCGGAAATTGATTAGCAATTTATCGAAACTGCCGCTAGCGTGAATGATGCAGTGGATTTTTTCACTGCTGCACTGGAAGATGCTATTTTCCGCATTGTCCCAGCTCGACGACCTCCGCTAAAGCCTGCATAGTCTAACCCACGCCTACGCGTGCTAAAACGTCAACGCTCTGCCGTCCTCCGAAAGTATTGTAACTCTCGCTCACCGTACTACAAACGACTGTTCAATTTTGCGAGGCGTAGTTATCGAAATTACAATCGTTTTCTCTATAATCGACACGTGAGACGCACGGAAGCGAACCTTAGCACGAATCCGAAAAGTTTTTGGTCGTTTGTCAACTCAAAACGGAAGGAATCCGGATTGCCTTGTTCCATGTTTCTCGGGAATGACTCGGCTAATAGTGAAAGAGAAAAATGCGACTTGTTTGCTCGTCATTTCAAGCAAGTGTTCAACGATTTCTCCGCTTCGCCAACACAAGTGCTGGATGCTGCTGTTGGGATGCCACGTGATGTGTTTAGTTTCGTTATTCCGCGCATTTCAGAAGACATGGTGATAGCCGCAACACGCAGACTGAAGCTCTCGTTCGCCTCCGGACCTGACGGCATTCCGTCATCAGTTCTAAAACGTTGTGTAGCCAATCTCTGTCTTCCACTTGCGAGACTATTCAATCTCTCGGCACAGCAATGTGAGTTCCCCTGCCGCTGGAAACTTTCTTTTCTGTTCCCAGTGCACAAAAAAGGAGATAAACGGAATGTCATAAATTATCGTGGAATCACCTCCCTGTGTGCCTGCTCAAAACTGTTCGAGATTATCATAAATGGTGCTCTGTTCACACGCTGCAAAAATTATATCGATACAGAACAACACGGTTTCTACCCGAAGCGCTCCGTGTCCACGAACCTGGTGCAGTTCACTTCTAACTGTCTGCGATGCATGGATTCAGGATGGCAAGTCAATACTGCGTATATGGATCTAAAAGCTGCATTTGACACGGTGAACCATAATATCCCCAACAAACAATTTGAGTTGATCAACAGCTGATTAAGCTATTTTTTAGCTGAAGAAGCTTGTTTTTGCCTGAATAAACTCTTATTCAACATTCAATGTTTGTTGGGTCTTGCTGGCCAAGCTGGAGATACTTGGCATCTCGTCAACTGCTGTGGATTGGTTCAGATCTTACTTGGTGAATCGCTATGTACATGTCACGATTGGCGCGTCGGAATCGGATGTTTTCTCAAACAACTCGGGAGTCCCGCAAGGCAGTAACCTAGGACCGCTACTATTTTCGATCTTTTTAAACGATGTCGCCTTGCTGATACCATCAGGATGCCGGCATCGATACGAAAATCTACAAAATTATTAAAAGCCTCTCGGACTGCTGGGATCTCCAGAATATGTTAGGTATTTTTGCTGACTGGTGCTCAAGAAATTTGATGAGTCTAAGCATAGAAAAATGTAACATTATTTCCTATCACCGAAAAATCGAACCAATCATGTTTGACTATGTTCTCTACGGACGCTGTCTTGCTCGTGTAGAGCACATAAAGGATCTTGGCGTTACCTTGGACTGCAGACTCACTTTCAGAATCCACTACAATGACATCATCTCCACAGCTAATCGACAATTGGGCTTTATTTTCAAAATTGCCGACGAGTTTCGTGACCCGCTATGTCTCAGGTCACTTTACTGCTCGCTTGTGCGATCCTTATTGGAGTCAAGTTCAGTTGTTTGGTGCCCTTTCCATGCTAGCTGGATCACTAGAATTGAATCCGTTCAACGCAAGTTTGTGAGATATGCTCTTCGTTTCCTCAACTGGCGTGACCCAACGAACTTGCCACCGTACGAGAAGCGTTGCCGTCTCCTGGGAATCGAGCCATTAGAAGTGAGACGGACGGTCGCTCAAGCTATGTTCGCTGGAAAGCTGCTTACAGGTGACATTGACTGCCCAACACTGCTGTCACAGCTAAATATGTATGCCCCTGAGAGGTCTCTTCGTCAACGCGACTTTCTGTTTTTGGAACCACGGAGCCGGAATTATACACAACACGAGCCAATTCGAGCAATCAGCCGGCAATTCAACAACTTTTTTTTTATATGTTCGACTTCAATGTATCAGCTGACGTGTTTCGTCATCGGCTACTTGGCCTTTTCCGTACCGTTGACCGTAACTATTTAGTTTAAGTTTTATTCATTTAGACAGTAATTGTCAGTTGAATTTTTCAATAAACAATAAAAAATAAACAATACGACAAACACAACAAGAAACGGTTATGAGCTATAGTTATTAACGAAAGAGAAAGTCTCTGTTATTGATCGTCAGATTTTCGAGAAAGTGATGCCGAAATTGATGACAATGACAGTTTGGTACAATACCACGCTGCAAGTTTATTTTTAAATTTTCCATCTACACAAAATCTCTTAAGTGCTCTCACAATTTTCTTGAATTTGTTGTTACATCAGCATTGAAGTTCTCTGATCTTCCCAATTTTTTTAATTCTTAAAAATTATCGACACTGCCATAAAAAGCATAGAACTTCCCATAATATGTTTTCACAATGTTCTTATGTTCATGTATGTCGCCGCCAAAAGCTACTTTCTTCTCCGGTTAGGGAGAGTCTTTCGCTTTCAGATCAGACACTGTTTCTCGATTCTAGGAGCTACTTTTTTCCCCGGTTAAGGAGAGAAGTTTTCACTTCTAGGCCGAAAGTTCTTTCGGATTCAAAAAAGAGAAGAATCTGGAGTAACCTATGAAACTTCATTTTATTCAACAAAATTGTACAAAGTGATCTTACAGCTACGTGTTGCATTAGCAACTTATAATTATGTAAAACTTTTACTTGGTTCGTCCAGGGTTTTACATATCCCTTTCAATACCGGACTTTTGACCTAATTTTGCCTATTCTATTAGCTAGGATTTCGATCGCCCTTGAAAGGGTAAATTTGTGTTATTTGGATCTTATATACTATGCCTTCTCAGATCTGGGATTTCTCGGGTTATCTTGTAAGTTTATTTCTTTTTGTAACTCAGATCTGATATGGCTCTACAAATAAGAATGAGACATTTGTAACGTTTAAACATTATAATTATATCCTTCGTTAAGGATAAACAGAGAGGGAAAGCTAAACGTAACCTAGATGCGCAAGCATGCCATGCGTGGGCGTGTTTATCCTACTTGAACGCAGAAACGTTCCTAAGTAAATACTGCAGTTAGATTATGTAAAACGAGCTCTCGCTCCTTTTGCCCTACTTTTCATTTCATATTCTTGGCCTTGGATCAACGTCAGCTAGGGCTATGCAAACGGGATGCAACTGTGAGTATCTTATGGTTTTGGTTTGAAATTAATTGCCTCGCGGTAACATTCCGGAGCCCGTAAATCCTTCTAGGTTTACTTATATATGATCGTTATTCCGCGAGTGTTTCGTCATTTACTTTGTGTATCATTCCCACAAAGCAATCTTTTTTAATGATAGTTTCAACATCTTGGTGTTTCAACACCCGTTTTGATGCTACTTGTTCTTTTTTATTGTCTTCATTTGAAGAAGCTTCGCCTGGCGGCTCAACATCCATAATAGCCAATTTGACTACTGGTCGAGTGTATTCTCCAGAGGCTGTTTTCACAACAGCCGATCTTACCTGACCATCCTTGCCTACATGTGTTTTCAAAACAACTCCCTTTTTCCACTTTGCCTTTTGATCATCTTCAGCAATCATAACGATGTCTCCTTCCTTTACATTTTTCACAGCTTCCGACCATTTTGATCTTTTGGCTAATGAAGGAAGGTATTCGTGTAACCACCTATCCCAGTAAGTTTTAGCCATAGACTGCACTTTCTTCCATTGTTGTCTAGTGGCCTCTGCCTTCGACACATCATTCAATGATGGTTCGGCACCGCCGGCACAACCAATTAGGAAGTGGTTTGGAGTGAGTGGTTCGTCATCCGTGGCATCTAAAGATATTTTCGTCAAAGGTCTACTATTTATTATATTTTCGATTTCTGTTAATAACGCACGGAATGTGTGTTCTGGCATAGTTTGATTTGGTAAAAGACTTTTAACTTCTTGAACCAACCTTTCCCATGCTCCACCAAAGTGTGGAGATGATGGAGGGTTGAAATGCCATTCAATTCCTCTTGACGCAAGTCTGTGCTGAATCTTTTTTAGTTCATTGTCAGCTCCTACAAAATTAGTACCGTTGTCGCTATAAAGGAATTTTATTCTGCCTCGTCTGTTCTGCACTGAGTTCAAGCAT